GAACTAATGAACTAATCGGAACTCAGCTGATATAAAAATATGTATCGTAATACTAGGGATATTTCCATAGACGTCCCGTTCCCATCTTTAGCAGCCAGCGCAGAATTAAAATTCCTATGCTACCATTAGTTGTCTGAGTATATGTTGGTTTTTTGTTTCCCTTTAGGTTGAGTCATGACCAAACCCCTTTGTCATACTTCCTGCTGCGTCATTCTCTTTAAACCGTGATGGTTTTTATTTTTTTTTTTGCACTATCTGTTCCAGCATGCCTTATGAGTCTGTTACAGTCACGAGTGTATGCTTCAGCGGGTTCTTTAGTCAGCGAAAACTTCAATGTCTTCCTCCATCTTCATTCTCAAACTAGATGTTGTTGCATTATATGCCAGGTGTTGTTAGGTCTATTACAACTCTGAGCATAAAATAAGACAGGTAAATAGCACAATGATTTAGTTTGGCAAAGATGAACATTCAAGAGGAGTTTGAAAGGAGTCAACATATGAACGGAGAGATCTCAGAATGTGGAAAAGCTAGGTTATCGAAAGAACTCGACAAAGTGCACATGTCTCACAACAAAGAAACAGACCATTTTATTTAGAATGCATCTTGGGCATATAGACTCTGCAGCCATATGTACTAGAAATTCCAGATTGGGGATTCAGAACTTTGTCCATCTGGTCAGGCATCACTGAATACTGAACATGTGCTACAGGCATGCGGTAGAGATATGATCATAGGAATGGTCGGTGGGCCGTCTAAAGGCGACCAAGCAGTATGGAACAGTGAAAGACATCCCTCACAGACTTCATAGAGGCATGTGGATTTCTCATTTGAAAACCGCTGGCACGTAGACCTAAAAGAAGAAGAAAAAAGGGTTGATATAAATGAGAACGATAGGGACTTAACTCTCACCTGTCCACTTCTAAACCAGCGTGTATCACAGGCTGTTGGCAGCCGAAGAAAAATCCCAAGGAAAACACGGCAATACTGCTCACCAAACAACCAATGAGAACCTTGAGGCAGGCCAAGGGGGATAACTTGAGGCGAGAAACCACATAACCACTGATCATGGCTGCAAACGATACACACAGTGTGTTGTTGATCCCTGGGGAATAGAACAAAAAGTCCACTTGGGCACATATGCAGGTTTCCATTGAGAAATGGCACCCAGTAATCCCCGACCCAGTATGGGTAAAGCCTCACCCCGGGTGTTGTTGGGGTGGGGTGGCTTAATATAACTCAATTTTGATCAGGGCTTCTGGGACTGGCGCTTCTGTGGGTTCTCATCCGAATGATGGCGTCTGGTTTCACAGGTGTTAATCACTCGTTGGGCGGTCCTGATAGCGTTGAACGTCACTCCATTAGCCTTCATTAGCGAAACAAACAGTTGTTACTGCCTGTGTTTACCCCTTGTGTAGGGCGTGGGGGAGAGGGAATGAGTAGTTGATCTTGACCAAGGGGATGTAGGGTTGCATGGCTAGTGTCACTGCCACAAACTGTGCAGGTTAGGACGTTCATTTTGGCCCTCGACAGAAAAGACGCATGTGTGTGAGCCTAGCGTTTTGACTTTTGGATAAGCCGCTCATCTTCTATAGTATTTTTCACAATTGATCTTTTTTATATATATATATATATATATATATATATATACACACATATATACTTCACTAACACAATACAATTAATTGGTAGTAAAAGTAATTTTTTCAATTGACATTGGCTTCAGAGCTGATAAGCTAGAGACTGATTGAAAAAAGGGGGTGGGGAGGGGGTTTGCAAAAGAAAGGGAAGACTAAAGAAAGAAAATGGAAAGAAAAAATAAAGTATACATCAGCGCGTGCTCACGCATGCACTCACAATACACACACAAAAAAAATAGATAATAAGTAGCGGTCATTGGCCTTTTTCAACAAAACAGCTACAAGAAACAAAACACAATACACACAACAGTTAACTGATTGAAATGACTAGACGACGGTAGTAAAATATTACATAATCAAAAGCCAAGAGGGAGGGGGGGGGGGGGGAGAGAAATAAGTACAAAGTGTGCAATACTTTCCTGTACCGCTCTGAATGGGAGTGATTGTGACAGTCGTGATGTTGACTATATCACCCATTAATTTATGCAAATATAACACTAGCGTCATGTGTTAGATGTGCCAATGGCAAGACAAGATCCGCGACTTCACTTACTAAAAGTATCACACACGCGAGCGCGCGCCCACGCACACACACAAATACATACGTGCGCGCACACACACACACACACACACACACACACACACACACACACAAACATATACATACAAAGTGCAGCAAAAATGCGTATACATGTCAGAATTGTCCCCCACTCCCTAATGAGCATGTCGGATAGTGCGTACACTAAAGGGATTGCTAAAAGTTAATGTCTAAGGCAAAAATGTATCGCAGTCTAGATATAGACAAGAAGAAGAAGAAGAAGAAGAAGAAGAAGAAGAAGAAGAAGAAGAAGAAGATGAAGAAGAAAAAGAAGTAGAAGAAGAAGAAGAAGAAGAAGAAGAAGAAGAAGAAGAAGAAGAAGAAGAAGAAGAAGAAGAAGAAGAAGAAGAAGAAAAAGAAGAAGAAGAAGAGCAAGAACAAGAACAAGAGTGGTAGGAGGAGGGGTGGTGACGCAGGATATTTGAAAGAATCCTTTTAACACTCGTTCCTTACCTGCAGGTGTACAGAAACACACACAGGCCCACACTCACACACACACGCGCGGACGCACTCACACACACACACACATACACACTGACTCACACAAATAGAGCATACAAAAGACTTACCAAACGCCAAGTTAGCATGCGCAGCGCTAATGCTGAACTGCGTCTCAAGGTATTTCGGCATAAAGGCAAAAATTCCGGCGATTGCCATCAGGTTGACACCACTGCCAGTCACCATACACATGAACACTGGGTTTGAGAAAAGCCGTCCCATGCTCCTCAAGAAATCTCAAGGAAGAACAAGAACATTGTGGTAAGGTCAATTTTCAGAAACTGTGTGAAGTCAGTTTACAATTCGGCTTGAGTATAATGGTCATTTTTTTAGAAAACTGATCAAAGACAGTTAACATTTCAACTGAGGATAATGGTCAATTTTCAGAAATTGCGCAAAGATGGTTTACAACTTAACTTGAGGATAATAGCCGAATTTAATAAACTTTGCAACGTTAATATACAACTGCATATGAGGGTAGCAGTCAATTTTCAGAAATTTTGCAAATTCGGGTTAACACTTCAATTGATGGCATCTGACACCTCCAGCATATGACACAAACAAAAAGCGGTACATTTCTTCATCCTGATGTAGCAGGTCATTTGCAGAACGTCGCTCTCATCATTGTCTACAATAAAGAAACTCGGTTTCTAGCCAGCTCTCCATGTCACGCAATTTTATATCCAAAGAGTCACTCATATTCTGTGCCCATCTTTGTGTTGGTCGGACCCTGCCCCTATTTCCAGGTATCAAGCCTTCTGCTTATTGTTATTTTTTTCCTAAATCCGGCGTAGCGCATGATATAGCCAAAACATTCAACTTTCCCAGACAAGCTGCTGTTTATCAGGCATTGTTCCTTGATGTCCAGATGTTTTAAATGTTTGTAGTTCTATTCTTTGTTCATGGTACACTGATACAATTGGACATCTATAACACACAATCCTCATTTCACGCATCAACAGTAGAAGCCGTGAGTTAAGTGACTCGTGGGAGTAAGATGCTGAATAGAAAGCTGATGTATGTATTTTGATTGCCTCTGTTACATTTGCGTGTGTTTATTTCGACGACGAAATTCGCTTAGTCACAGCTTGATTGCTTCGTTACCTTGGCCGAATCAATTTTGCGTGACGTCTTATATTTGACTATTATCTCCACTTGAAGTTGCAAACTGATTTTGAACAGATTCTGAAAATTACAAACTCTCATAAGAGGGCTGCGTCTTATCGAGGCATGGTGTCCGATTCAAGTGCTAGAGGTTTCGGGTTCAACCCGCAGTAAGGGCTGGGATTTTTTCACGTGGACTTCTAATAATTCCTCCCTGGTCTCTGGGTAGTGAAATCGGACGCCCGTGGGCATTGTTGCGCACGTAAAAAAAAATCCCTTGATATTTGAAAATCGAAAAAAGTAGCCTAACTTTGTTAAAAATATATCCAAAGTATTCCAAGATCCTCGCCAGTGCTACAGAGCCCGTGCATTGTGCTGGGCTACTTTGAACCCAGACGAGTTAGAGGTAGAAGGTAGCACTTATGGCTGCTGGGTAGACACCACATTCGCTACGTTATTCTCAATCAGACTACAGTCTCTCTGACCCCTCACCCTGCTGACACATAAATACACACACGCGCGCCCATTGGCTGGCCGGAAGACGGCCTCGTCGTCGGTCGGTGCAGTATTTCGGTCTGTCTTTCTTGATCGCGTCAACACTGCAACTGTCCTTTTCAGGACTTCTTTGTGGCGAGCAACGTTAAGCCATTCCATGTGGTGCAATTAGCTTAGTCACAATTATAACCAAAAGCTCCCCCTTTTGGGGATGCTGGTTGAACGTGACAATTTTTATTTCTTCTCATAATCAAATCGGATAGCGCGTGCAGTAACACACCATTCTTATCCAAACCATCAGGTCCTTTGCCGCCCTCTTCCCTCTTTCCAGTGCTCCAATCCTATTTGCGTTCACATACAATGCTACAATCCTATATGCGTTCACATACGATGCTACAATCCTATATGTGTTCACATACAATGCTGCAATCCTATATGTGTTCACATCCAATGCACCCTCCATTCTTGTATCCACCTTCGCTTTTATAAGTTCTGGTCACATGGTCACATGATATAAGTGACTCCTTGAGTATAAAAGTACATGTGGTGGGAGAGCTGACGAAAGACCGAGTTTCTTTTCAGGCACACCGTGATGAGAGCAACGTTCTGCAAAGGACCTGCTACATGATGATGATGATAAACGCGGACAACGAAAGTAAATTTCCAACCTTTTACATCTTTGGAAATTCTCGTTCCTGTATTTAGACCTTTCTTCGCCGTTTCCTTAGCAACACCCCAACGATTCTGCTTGCGCATGTGCTTAGGAAAGAATAGCAGTGGTACAGCGATGATGAGACCCAGTGTTCCAAATAAGAGAAAACCGATCCACCAGGCTCCGATCCATCTGGGATCGCGGGGTGACATGCTGGTAACTAGCAATGAGACGTTAACAAGAAATTAATTCGAGTGTATTTATGTTCATATAAATGTTGGCTAGTTCAGCAAACGAACAGAGAGAACTGTTAACAGAGGGAGTTATTCTTCTTCTTCTTCTTCTTCTTCTTCTTCTTTTTCTTCTTCTTCTCTTCCACCTTTTACCTCATCGAAGTGTCGGGGGGAGATGTAATGTTCGTTGATGAGCTCTGTCAAGAGCACTATTAAGACTGATGTTCATTTCTGTAAGGCTGTTCTTAATGCCATCACTCCATCTTATCCGAGGTTTTCAACTCGCTCTATACCCGTTGTAACGTTTTATTGTGGCTCGCTGTGGCAGATAGTACCAGGGCATTCTTGTTAGGTGTCCAAACAACTTTATTTGTTGTTCTTTGATGACCTGTAAAACTGGCTTTATTCCTAGCATTCGTCTGATTTCATGATTTCGTATTCTGTCTTTCCTTGAAACTCCTGCAGCTCTTCAAAGGCATGTCATCTCTGTTGTCATAATTTTACGTTTATTGGAGGATGTAAGTGTCCACGTTTGACCTTGATAGCATAGTGTTGGCAAAAAAATAGTTCTGATTAGATTCACTTTAGTACTCCGAGGTATCTGTTTGTGTGTCATCAGGGGAGATAGTTGCCCCATTACTTGATTAGCTTTGGCACATCTGGAGCTAATTTCTCTGTCCAGTTTTCCGTCGGATGTGAAAATTGCTCCCAAATAGTTAAATTCCTCTGTTTGTCTCAGGGTGCTGTTTTTTTATTGTATTTCTAAATTGTCTTTCTGTCTTCCTATCATCATTGTCTCTGTCTTCGTAGTGTTCATTTTCTTATTATAGTCCTCCCCTTTGTTACTAATTTGATTTAGGTGGTTCTGTAGGCATTCGGTATTTTCTGCTATGAGTACCTGGTCGTCGGCGAATAGTAATTCTGCTATTAACAGGGGCAAATACTAACAGGGAGAAACTATTATTACAGGAAGCTTAAACAGGAAGTGAAAATATTTACAGAGGAAACTATAAAAGAGAAAACTATTACCAGAAGGAAACAGTTATCATAGAGAACTATTACCAGATAAAACAATTAACAGAGAAAACTATTGACAGAGAAGAGATCGTGATTGGGGTAAAATATAAATAAAAATCAGGTCAAATAGAAATCCAAAATTGTGATCCGCTGTAGTATTGTTTCTGCATGTTCACCTATCTATCAGAAGGTCTTGTGTTTGAATCCTGACTGATATTGAATTTCAATATTGACCTTGACTCCCAGGTCTTCCCTGCCTCAAATGGACACGAGGTAAATTCCTGGAAAGTAAAAGTGGCCGGTGTGATGAAAACCATGTCACGCTTTATGTGCCAATCTGTCTATACAAATATGCGTCTAATGTATATGCCTAATGCACCATTGACAAAAGAAAACATTCTTTACTTTACCTACCCTCCAGAGTGACGTAGATACTGCTGAAGACGCCGCCAAGAGCAAAGGAAATAGAAGGTCCAAATATCCCGATTCCCGTGACAAAACCTTTATCAGAAAGATAGGATTTACCTGTGTAATTGTAAACTGTCACCACTGTATGTATTCAACGCATTTTATAGCGGTGCGGATAGGGAAAGGAGGGTGGAATTGATGTGGCGTTGTGAGCCTGAGGTTTTAGGGCCACATGGCTACTGCTGTGGCCAAGAACTGTGCAGGTTATGATGTTTAAGGTGAAATATTTTGGTCATATCAAGCGCCATGATGGATTGGAAAAAGTTCTAGCAGAGGGCGTGGTAGCAGGAATGAGGGACAGGGTCTGACCAAAACGAAGATGGGTACAGGATATAAGAGTCTCCTTAATATCGCCGTACATGCGGCGGGACAGTTGGCTAAAGACTGAGTTTCTTTCAGACAGGCTTCTGCAAAGGACATGCTACATGATGATGATGATATCATTTGAGTAATTAATAACTTGATCAACAAAAGCAATTCATCGCGTTTACAAGCATCACATCATATTACATCCATCTATTAAAGTTGATACAATCTGTTATGTTGAAAAGGAAGCAAAAAATTTCATTCAATAAAGATGTATCCCAGGCTACTATTTAAAATACTGGTGTATCCCAGGGTTCTATTCTTTGCCCTTTATTTTGTGCTATTTGCATAAATGATCTTCCCTTATGTCTGTCATCAGCATGCGATACATTCGCAGAGGACTGTGTAGTCTAAATTATGATCTAGATTTGTTTTTTTTTTTTTTTTGTAACTTTAGTAACTTTTTGTAAATTTAGTTAAGTGGAGCTGTGCAAAGCGCATGCAAACTAACATTAGTAAAAATAAATCTTTATTAATAATGACAAAACAAAAATTATACTCATTAAATTCGCATAGGCCCCTATCTCTACATAGGTACCAAAGTTAAAAAGAGCAGCATTTAAAACAGCAAAACAGAAGGTGAACATGTCGGTAATACAGTGTTACGAACCAACAAATGATAAAGATACATCTGTTAAGTAAGGATTTTACATGCAGCTTCAGAATAATATAAATAATGAAAGAAAGGGCAATTTAAAAATTGTGATGGGTGACCTGAGTGCTTAGATAGGATCAGACAATACAGATTATGAAGAAATTATGGGGAGACATGGTCTAGGAGTAATAAATAAAAATCGAGAATTGTTTACAATTTTTTGTAAACCAGTATGTTTTTGGTGGAAGTATTTTTCCCCATAAAAGAATACACAAGGCAACATGGGAATCACCAGACCATAAGACAACCAATTAAATTGATCACCTATGTATTAACAAAAAGTTTAGATCATCCCTTTATGATGTTAGGGCTTTCAGAGGTGCCGGTGCATTTACTGATCATTTCCTGGTGGTGAGTAAAATCAAGTTGAAACTTAAAAGATATATAACATCTTATTATCATAGAAACCAATATAATGTAGGTTATCTCAGGGATAAAGAAGTAAAGGAACAGTTTTCAGTTATAGTCTCTCAAAATTATCAGGTGTTGCAGCAGTTACCTGAAAATGTCAGTGCCGAAGTCTGCTGGGATCAGTTCAAAGGAATCTGGAATGAATCTTGTGTAGAAGTTCTTGGCAAGAAAGAACGGAAACATAAAGAGTGGATAACACCAGAAACCATTAAATTAATCAAAGAAATGAAAAGTAAAAAAGCAGACTTAAACAAAAGCAAAACTAGAGCTGGGAAAGCTAGAGCTCAGGATAAACACACAGAAGCGAATAAGGAAGTTAGGAGGCATTTAGGGCAGAAAAAGTGAAATATCTAATTGATCTAACACAAGAAGCGGAGACAGCAGCACGGCAGCAAAGGGAAACCTTAGAGAACTTAACAGTAACACAAGAAAATTAGTTGGTAAATATAGTTAGCCAACTGGATCAATCAAAAATAGTTTAGGAAAGGCAGTTCCTAACACAGAAGATCAAATGAACAGATGGGTTGAATATTTTCAAATGCTTCTAAACAGACCAGGCCCATAGTTTCCCCCAGATCTCCAGCTTTTAGAAATGAAACTGGATATCAACTGTGAGATACCATCTAAAGAGAAAATTAGAAAATCTATCAATCTTCTTACGAAGGAAAGGCGACAGGTATTCCAGCTGAAGCCATTAGGGCCAATATAAACACATCGACAGAATTGCTACATAGATTATTCAGTAAAGTCTAAGAGACCGGAGAAATACCAGCAGAAAAATTAATTTTTTTTTTTTTTTTAAATAGCATCCAAAAAGGCCCCATATCATGTTTTGTTCGCTGAAAGGCACAGCAAACAACTGCACATACTATATATCTCAAAATCTAGGATAGACCTAAACAAAACAAGCTTTGTGCACTCCGCAGCTCATCTGTGGAACCAATTTCCACAGCCAATAAAAAATTTGCCTTTTACGACATGTATGTTTGAGGGTAGTGGACCTATTTTGTCTCCCTTCCCTTCACCCACCTTCCAAAAGAGGACCCCAGAACACATACGGGGGAATCTATTTACCCAGGTACAAGGCTGTCTTTGTTCTCGGAACATTGTCATCGATGTAGGTTGTAGTGAAAGGGGTCCGTGGTGCCTTAGCCATCCCTTGAAGCACCATACCCAGAGCTATGATGAAGATGGCAATGTTCTTCCAGCTGTCTGATATCAGGAACAATCTCTTAGCCGGAGCTGTAGTGTTCTCACATGAGTCCGTGGTGGGTAGGGTCTCATTTGAGCATAGCTGAATGAAATGTGTGTTGGAATCTGAGGAGATGTGACAATAAGCAGTGTCTTTCATAGTTGATGCTCAGATGACATGTAAGTTTAATTGTCTTTCTGTCTGTCTGTCTGTCTGTCTGTATGGTCTGTCTGTCTGTCTGGTCTGTCTGTCTGGTCTGGTCTGTCTGTCTGTCTGTCTGTCTGTCTGTCTGTCTGTCTGTCTGTCTGTCTGTCTGTCTGTCTGTCTGTCTGTCTGTCTGTCTGTCTGTCTGTCTGTCTGTCTGTCTGGCTGTCTATCTATCTGTCTGTCTGTCTGTCTGTCTGTCTGTCTATCTATCTATCTATCTATCTATCTATCTATCTATCTATCTATCTATCTATCTATCTATCTATCTATCTATCTATCTATCTATCTATCTATCTATCTATCTATCTATCTATCTATCTATCTATCTATCTATCTATCTATCTATCTATCTATCTATCTATCTATCTATCTATCTATCTATCTATCTATCTATCTATCTATCTATCTATCTATCTATCTATCTATCTATCTATCTATCTATCTATCTATCTATCTATCTATCTATCTATCTATCTATCTATCTATCTATCTATCTATCTATATATCTATCATCTGTCTGTCTGTCTGTCTGTCTGTCTGTCTGTCTGTCTGTCTGTCTGTCTGTCTGTCTGTCTGTCTGTCTGTCTGTCTGTCTGTCTGTCTGTCTGTCTGTCTGTCTGTCTGTCTGTCTGTCTGTCTGTCTTCTTTACAACAAACTGACTCTCTTTCTGTTTGACATCTTCATCTCCTAATATTTCAGCGATTAATACATAGTCTGTCTCACTGTTTCATTGATTCCTTAACTCCTTAAACTGCTCATCTCTTAAAAAAGATCTATAGAAAAGGAAGACACTGGAGCAAAGATAGGGTCACCTTCCGTGACGTCATCACTTTCCTTTGGGGGACTGGGAATCTGATCCTTACTGCCCAGGAAAGCCACAGTACACAACAAGCCAGCGGCACCGTACAACATGGTGGTGTAGCTGAGAGCACGGGGGATGTGTATTCTCCTGACGTAGTAGCTGAACAGTAAAGTGGTCAGCAGGAATCCTAGATCGTTGCAGGACAGCAGGAAGCCACTGGTAGAGCTGCTGATGTTAAAGTGCTTCTCCAGACTGGTGATCTGTCAAGTGGAAGACCAAATGATGTCATTTATTTTGGTTGTTTCAATGTAATAATACAGTAAAAATTCGAATAACTGTAAATCGTTTATCCTGCTTTTTCTATTATCTGCCTTTATTAAAGAAAGGATCCGTTTGAACCAAACACTTACCACTAGCCACTCAGAAACAGACAAAAAATGTTACCAAAGCGCATCGAATGGTTTGAAATGCAAGAGGAGCACATGTAACAAGGATACTACTTCTGTGTAACATATCGAACATAGCGGTGCAGAAAGTTCTGTGTAACATAGGGAACATAGAGGTGCAGAAAGTTCTGTGTAACATAGGGAACATAGCGGTGCAGAAAGCTCTGTGTAACAACATATCGAACATCGCGGTGCAGAAAGCTATGTGTAACATAGGGAACATCGCGGTGCAGAAAGCTCTGTGTAACATAGGGAACATCGCGGTGCAGAAAGCTCTGTGTAACATAGGGAACAATAGGGAACATCACGGTGCAGAAAGCTCTGTGTAACATAGGGAACATCGCGGTGCAGAAAGCTCTGTGTAACATAGGGAACATCGCGGTGCAGAAAGCTCTGTGTAACATAGGGAACATCGCGGTGCAGAAAGCTCTGTGTAACATAGGGAACATCGCGGTGCAGAAAGCTCTGTGTAACATAAGGAACAATAGGGAACATCGCGGTGCAGAAAGCTCTGTGTAACATAGGAAACATCGCGGTGCAGAAAGCTCTGTGTAACATACGGAACATCGCGGTGCAGAAAGCTCCGTGTAACATAAGGAACAATAGGGAACATCGCGGTGCAGAAAGCTCTGTGTAACATAGGGAACATCGCGGTGCAGAAAGCTCTGTGTAACATAGGGAACATCGCGGTGCAGAAAGCTCTGTGTAACATAGGGAACATCGCGGTGCAGAAAGCTCTGTGTAACATACGGAACATCGCGGTGCAGAAAGTTCAAGCCTCAAAGACACAGAAGATGCCATATTATTTTAAAATTAAATTAGTTTTCTAGTATTACATTTCTGTACATTTTTGCTCTTATTTACGTTTTTGTAAAATTAAGTACAATAGGTATTTATTATTCGCCTTTAAAGGATTTTCATTCAGGTTTCGTCCAAGCCGGCAATGAAATTACGTTACTGTACATATGGGTATTTAACTCGACAATCACCCTATCTCGATCGCGTGCGAGATTTCGTGCCGGCTCCCATTCATGTTGTCCTTGTTCCCAGGAGCTGTCCTCTGTTTCTGGCGTTATAACGTGGCTTGCTTCGCCCTGTGTGTATATACCATGTTAAGAAGCGACTGCCGCAGTTTAGTTTTTGCAACTCTGTTTTCTGTGAACGATAGGTCTCAGAAAGAAGTACTGCAAGGGGAAGCACCAAAGTTGTGACGTTTTGTGAGGATCGAATCATTGATGTTTTTGTATTATTACGCTTGTTGGCGGTGGGCTGTCGTCGCTCGATCTGCTTGAAACAGTCAAAACGAGGAACACGTGACACCCCTGGAGTAAAGAACCGTTCTGGGAAATCTCTTACAAAATCACCCGACCGTGAGATAGGGTGACTTTCGTGATTTGTACCGTACATATGTATAAGAGAATACTGTTATCCGTCTATTCTGTTAACTGACACAGCACTGCTCCAAATGATAGCGGTTTATCCAAGTTTTACTGTATTTGTTTCCCCCTGTCTTCAGGAGACTTCACCAACTCACGCTTCAAGTGCTTATTAATTTTTCTACGCTGCAAACGGCTTAATAAGGCTATCTAAGATGTGGCGAATTTCTATTGCCAAGAACAATGTGTTTTTCCCCTTTAATTTTTCTTGCTAGTACTATTACATGTGGGGTTATCGCTATGAGGTCTGCACTGTATTAATATTATTAATATTATTATCATTATTATTATTCACTTTCGTATGTTCATTATCGTTTTCTTCTCCTTCTTTTCTTTTTCTCCTTTTTCTTCTTGTTTTTCTTCCTTTTATTGTTACTATTATTTCTCCTTCTCTTCTTCTTCTTCTTCTTCTTCTTCTTCTTCTTCTTCTTCTTCTTCTTCTTCTTCTTCTTCTTCTTCTTCTTCTTCTTCGTCTTCTTCTTCTTCTTCTTTTTGTTTGTTTACAAGCTTCAAGATTTTGCTGTGACTAGAAAATTGTTCACTAGTTGTCAAATGGGACAGTCAAGGAAATTTTGTGTTATTTCCAGTTGATCAGGAACGGCTCGTGTGTACTGATAATGGAACCCATTATAACTCATTAACTTACTAACAAACTAACTAACCAACCAACCAACCAACCAACCAACCAAACAATCAACCAACTAACTAACTAACTAATTAACTAACTAACTGACTAACTAACCCCTGCTGCTTCCATTCTCCTTCGCCAATTTTTCCAACCAACTAGTTAAAAGTAATCTTTTTGATTCTTCTTTTCGCTCCCTGCTTCTACAAGTAAACTCCTTCGCTTTGATGTATTTTCATCTCGTTCATTACTCAACTAGGGTCTACAAGTAACACTCACTTGAGAATTGATGTAGACATTCATCTCGCTTCATTACTCAACTAGGGCCTACAAGTAACACTTACTTGGGAATTGATGTAGACATTCATCTCGTTCATTACTCAACTAGGGTCCACAAGTAACACTCACTTGAGAATTGATGTAGACATTCAGCGAAGATGTGACCAGTGAAGAAGCACTGCAGACGGTGGTGAACCAGGAGATGGTTTTGAATCTCTGAAAAAATATCTTCAGTGGTAAATTGCACGCGTCAATTATTTGGATTTTCTCACAATTTAAACAATGTATTTGTAGATCAACAACTCGGGCATCAAGTATCCGCAATGATAGCTGACTGCAATGAATCTTCATCGCTTCACATTTGGCAATGTATGCATCCTCTCTGCTTCTTTGGTCTGAAAGATGAGTGCTTGGAAATTCCTAATGTAAGACTGACGTGCCTGCCCAATTTGTAACCCTTTGACAATGAAGTTCCATCGTTCAGTCTGAGAAGGCTTTTTATACATCTTTTGACAATATTCTCCCGCTTGTATTGCTGACTGCCTCCAGCTCGTTTAACTGAAGCTTTTCTTCACAGTTTATTGGGGTTTATTTAAAAAGATTTGTCTTTTAGCGAAGCCAAATATTTCATCTGTCACATTTTTTTTAACCCTTCAGGATCTGTCGTTTCTTTCCTATTATATTAAGACTCGCTGCATCTCTCCCCGCGCCTTTTTTTTTTCTCTAAAATACGTCATATTGTTCCATTATCTGAATCTAAAGGCCTGTCTTTTGTACAAATCTAGAGACCTGTCTTTTGTACACATTCAGAGACTCGTCTGTTGTCTTCACACATCCAGAGACCTGTCTGTTGTCTTCGCACATCCAGAGACATGTCTATTGTCTTCACACATCCAGAGACCTGTCTATTGTCTTCACACATCCAAATTCCTGTCTATTGTCTTCACACATCCAGTCTGTTGTCTTCACATTTTCAGAGATCTGTCTATTGTCTTCACACATCCAGTCTGTTGTCTTCACATATCCAGAGACCTGTCTGTTGTCTGCACACATCCAGAGACCTGTCTGTTGTCTGCACACATCCAGAGACCTGTCTGTTGTCTGCACACATCCTATAAATAGTTAGTGATGGACAGCATGTTATGAGAAGAAGGAAACTAGAACATGCTGTGACCACTGAAAAGATCTGTTGAAAGATAGTGGAAGACAGCGCGAGACAATTCTTGACAGCCTTTTGATTTGATTTCATTTGATTCTAGAACCGACATTGCAGCACTCTGGACATTCCCATAAGCGCTCCGTCCCTATCTCCAGCAGCCAGCGAAGAGTTCTGATACTAATGGTGCCAGTAGCATTCTCATTTAATGTCCCTCTTGCATTTCCTCTGGCTTTGAGCATCTCCTCACCGGTGTCCTCCGCAGCGAAGCATGCCACTCTGCGCAAAGCATGCCTGTCCTAGTCTTCCTCAGCATGATTTCTGAGTCAGTCATAATCACAATGTGTGTGTGTGTGCGTGTTCTCTAGCTAGGGGAAAGCTGCAGTGACCGCCTCCACCTCCATTCTTAAGCCGGATGCTGTGGAATCATATGCTAGGCTCTCCTGCACCAAACGTGGACCATTAACTTTTGCTAAGACGCCTCATGCACTTCTTTTGCCTTTTGACACTGAACCGTCTGTGTAAATGATCAAATTTTCTAAACGAGCATTTTCTTGAATTAATTATTAAATTTCCATCTCCGTTGCACCTACTGGCCAGTCTCTGCATTCCCGGCTCAGCGTGATTATGACTCTACATCTGACTGTTTAGGTGGCATTTTGACCCACTCCTCTCCTCGCCTAATGTTTTCAAAGGATGCAAACCTGTCTGACAGCTTTTTG